TATACCTTCTATTTTTTGTATTTGTTTTTAAACAATATAATTTACTACGGAACCAATAAACAAATATGTTCGAAAATCATCGATCAAAATCTAACGATTCCAAATTAAATGTAAACAATGAATGTAAACAATTTGAAACACAATTCGTGTATGCATATCCTACCTCAATCACGCTTCTTCCCCAAAATTTGGTCGCACGTGAAACTGGCTCAGCCATGTCGGGTTCCGCCAATTTCGCCATTGATGTATTTCTTTTATCCTCCACAGCTCAAGGTGCGTCTTGGTCGGGGTGCGGCAACCCCTCTGCCGAAGCAAAGCCCAACTCAACACCTATAAGTCATTGATGTGGATTTTACCAGTCCCCACTTGCAATTTACAAGTAATCACTATACCAAACTGCTCCAACAAGGCCGTAGCCAGTTCAAATCGTATTGGCAGAGATCGATCGGATCCAGCCTGCATGCACTGAGTTCTGCCAAACCAGCGGTACACTTGGAAGCCACAAAACGAGCAATGTGAGGGGTTGACGCCTTTGCTGCGCGCACGTCCTGCTGGGGCTGCTTGCATTAAGCCGCCTGCTTCTGTTGATGCAAGCACCAAAGGATTCGATGACTCTGCTAGCGATCAGGACACGCACGAGCTGAGTTTAACTATAAATGTCCCTTCTCAAACGGGACGTCCTCTCTGGCAAAACTCAACAGGCATATTGATATATGGACTTGAAACTGTTCCAAATGCATTGGGTGATGCTTCCCCAATTTTCTCAAGAGCACCTCAAGGTTCCGAGGCAGGCGCCGGCGCCTCGAACGACACCTCCCCGACAACAGCCAGCGGCGACTGGTTAGGCCGCTCTTCCCTTGAGGTCGATGTGACGACTCCAAGTATTGTTCATTGGGTGCAGGTCTTTTTGTGACACTTTTCGAGTTGGGTTAAAAGGAAACAAGAGGAAGACCGAAGTCCATCTTTGGGGCGCCCTTGTTTTCACCCATCCCCAGAGCATTGGATGTCAGAGCGCTCCAGCAGTCCATGCGGGTCCACTAGTTGGGGACCGCAAGCTGGGCACCAAAAGTTTCGCCCTGAAGCTTGGCATCCTTTGGTGATCTTACGAACCCATCCTTAATCCACAGGAGATTTTGTTTGACACACGATGCAAGCGGCTTCACCTTGGGATGCGGTCTTCACCCGCAGTCATGGTGGCTTTTGCCCCTGGCGCACATTGGTGATTCCATGATCTGTTTGCCGCCGTTTGCCCAGGAGTCAGCCAAGGAGTCATGGCTTTAAACTCTCTGTGTGCGAGCTGATCCGCTCCAAGCTGGGCGCGCATGCGCAAAGTTTCGTTCCAACCGATCAATTACGGATGTTCCATAGTTGAAGAGACACCCAAGGAGACCAGCAGCAAAGTTTGGTTGGAACTTACATGGCTTTGGCTGGATCTTACATGGGCCACGTTGCATCAGCAAAAAGCATTGGCTCTCCGTGTCGAACCGCAAGCTGGGGACCAACAGCTTCGCCCTGAAGCTTGGCTTCCTTTGGTGACCTTACGAACCCCATCCTGTCTCCAAGGGACATTTTGTTTGAGAACCCCGCAGTCATGGCGGCGTTTGCCCCTGGCGCACAGGTAGACACTCTGGAGAGCGCTTGGATGTGGCTTGATGGATCTGGGCAAACTACTAGAACTCCTAAACATGGGAATCAGGAAAGTTCAAGTACAGGACCTTCATGATGGGGGAGATCCCTCGCTTTACCCCCGGATCGGTGATCGGCCAGCTGCTTGCCGCCATTTGCCCAGGAGTCAGCCCAGGAGTCATGGAGAAAAAGGCTCCCTGCACAGTGCGGGCTGATCCGCTCCAAGCTAGGCGCGCATGCGCAAAGTTTCGTTCCAACCCTAGTTGAAGAGACACTGGAACTTGCGTGGCTTTGGTTGGATCTGACATGGGCCACGTTGTATCAGCATAAAGCATTGGCTCTCCTTGTTGAACCGCAAGCTGGGGACCAACAGTTTCGTCCTGAAGCTTGGCTTCCCATCCTTTCTCCAAAGGTCCCTTTAAGATTGATTGGACGAATGGCCCCTTCCGCGAAACCTTCCGCAAAGCTTCCGCGGAATGAAGGGCACCTTCCGCGAGCATGTTTCTATATAAGTGCTTCCGCGGGCCTTCCGCGGGAAAGTTGTTTCTGGAAAGTGAGGAAGGTAGCTTCCGCGAGCGAACTTGTGTGCACGATCTGCTAGCAATTCTAGTAAGAGCAAAATATATTCTGGAAAGAGCGGATCAACCACATCCCTTCCACGAGCTTCCGCGAACCTTCTGCGAACCTTCTGCAGCAGTGTGGTGCTACCTTGTGTGTATGTCCACCTCTAGACATTGTTGCTTGAGCGGTAAAATAATCTGCCACTCATTGTGTTTGAGAACCTGAGTTTTAGTCACACGATGCAAGCGGCTTCACGTCGTGATGCGGGTTTGGCCCGCAGTCATGGCGGCGTTTGCCCCTGGCGCACAGGTAGACACTCTGGAGAGCACTTGGATGTGGCTTGATGGATCTGGGCAAACTACTAGAACTCCTAAACATGGGAATCAGGAAAGTTCAAGTACAGGACCTTCATGATGGGGGAGATCCTTCGCTTTACCCCCGGATCGGTGATCGGCCAGCTGCTTGCAGAAAAAGGCTCCCTGCACAGTGCGGGCTGATCCGCTCCAAGTTGCCTGAGGTGGAAGGCGCGCATACGCAAAGTTTCGTTCCAACCGATTAATTACGGATGTTCCCTAGTTGAAGAGACACTGGAACTTGCATGGCTTTGGTTGGATCTGACATGCGCCACGTTGTATCAGCATAAGGTACTGGCTCTCGGACGGCCAATCTTCCAGTGGGCTGTGGATGCAAAGAACCGAGTGGAGAATCCGGAGGTTTGATGCACTGCGCACTGATCTTCAACGGGAGCATCTCCGGCCATGCCTGGCGGGATGGTCTGAAGTGGTCCAAGACCACCAAGAGTTCTGAGATTCTGGGTAGCTTCCAGTGTCCTACGCGAGGAACCTTCAAGACCTCCCTTCAACCCAAAGGAGGGCTAGTGAGTCAGCGGACGTCTGCAAGAGGCTCAAGCAGCTGAAAATGCCTGCCCAACCAAGTTCGCCTTCCGGGAATAACAACCCCAGCTCACCCGCCTGGGTCCTGAAACGGAGGGGCTTCTGGGGTCTGTCTCAGTATGGAACAAACCTCAGTGGGGGCTCCTTTACCCGGACAAAAAGGACATATTCAGGTCTTGATCAAGCTAGCAGTGAGCGTCGGGGTCTCTTGACCAGCCCGTGCTTGCCGCCCTGGTAGTGCCAGAAGGCATGCCAGCCATCAACTTCGATTTAACGTAAAGGGAGTACAGGGGACAGGCCATATTCACGCCAAGGAAGCCTTCTCAGCAGATTCCCACGTCACTGTGCACGTTGAAATCGGGCGGCGGCTCACCCACGCTCCGACCTGGAGAGACCACGTGAGCGGAGAAGTCATTGTCAACAGAGTGACGTGAATGGGACATCTATGACGAGCACAGGGCCAGCGACTTTGGGCCGTGTGACGGGTATCTCTGACGCACTCTGAGCAAAAGCTCGAGTCTCGGGCCGAGTCTCTTTCAGCACCGGATGCAAAGTGAGGACCTGCGCGCTAATTGCCCGCCTTGCGCGCGGAAATTCGGAATGCGCAAGACTCCTTGGCAAAGGGCTGCCTCGCAGCGAAACCCGGGCAGGCAAGACAGCTGCAGCAAACCTCTGCACCTGCCTGCCACATGCAGACCTCGTAGCACCCTAAGCCTTGGGCATTCACTCGCACCTGCCGTTGCTCATCCTCTTTTCCCCAAAGGCCACAAAAGCCGGCCAGCAACGCTCAAGGCAAACTCCGCTTCGCAGTTCGCTCAATCGGCCACCCTCGGCCAAACGGCCGGCGCTTTGGTCAAAACACCAGCGGTCCGCAGACCTTGCAAGACTCGGGCTCGTCCATTGTGACATTGGTCTCACACATCAATTGGAGCCAAACAGGTCCCCGGGCAGCCAAAGGCTTCAACTTTGAGAGGAAGCGCTTGGCGCTGCAGTTTTGAAGGACATGTCTCAGACCTATCCTGCCCCTGGACCAAAGATGAGCAATGATATCACGCCCCAACCAGTGGCCCGGTTTCAATCCGCTGATATGCAGATGCCTTCCCGGCCAGTTCTGCCGAAAACCACCGGAAGTTTTCCGAGCTCTCGTGAACTTGGTGAGCCCATGTCCCGAACCTTGATCAAAACCGGAGATTTCGGTATGTGACGCTGCCAAGCTGCGGGGCGCGCATGGCCTCTTGTCCAGAGTGGCTTTGAAGATGTGGAGAATTGCTGCAAGCCGAGCCGCGAGGACACTTCCGCAGCTTTTCCAGCCATCCCAGGCTTCTAATGGGCATTGGAGCAAATGGTCGGCCACTGGTCAACAGTAAGGCTAGCCGAAGCGGTGTGCATCTCACATCTTGGAGACGTCATCGCTTTGCGAGAAGCTCGAGCAGCTCTACGCATCAAAGGCAGCTTGCGGGTTACAGCTCCTGTAAACCCTCTCGGCTCAAACTTGGTCACCGCATGTCACCGCTCCACGTCGGAAAATGACAGCCCGCCCCCTAGCGGACATGTTTACCTGGAACCTCAACTGGAGGGCAAACTCACATGGTGCTCGAAGCTCAACACGCGCCGCAGAGGACGCCGCCGGATGCGGACCCCTTGCCAAAGGACCTGTGGGCACTCGACCTGGTCTAAAGGTCTAAGGCAACCTGCTTGGCACAGGGATTTGCCGCGTTTCATTGTCACGGCTTGCCTTGAGAATTACACTCTCTATGGCCAATAGGATAGGGTACTTAGCTGCCTGTTACACAGCAGCGTGTCTAAATTCTTAGTCAGCAGACTTGCTTGGCCAGGGAGGCAAAGGCGTTACGCCCGCTCAAGAATGGTTGATTGCGCGTCCAGGCTTGGCCCGCGGCAGACCTGCGAGCGGCCGCGTCCATGCGAAGCACTTTGGAGCTGCTGGCTCAACTGGTACAAACACGCTTGCTTGCCCAGTGTCCCGTGTTGCACCAGTACAATATCTTGGCCCTCGGGTTTATCGCCAAGGGCTGCACCAAGTTCAGCTTTGATCTCCCAGGCAAAGGCCGATGCTTTAAGTTCGGCGACTTGCAAGTGCCCCATAGAAATGACATGCAAAAGTTCCGTGCCAACCAGGTGCTGCAAGAGAACTTGGCGCGTCCTCGGTTCGGTAGAGCAGCGCGGCTGGGATGCTGGGGCTGTTGTTTCTTGGCCTTCGAGGCCGGTGTGGTTTGGCTGTTACAGCTGTCATCTCCAAAGGCAAACTGGCGTGCCGTGCCCTGAGTGAGAAGAGAGGTTCGATTCTTATGGCTTGCCTGGAGCATCACACTCTCTATGGCAATGCAATAGGTTTGGGCAGATAGATGCCTGTAGTCCATTGCAATGTGTGAAAATGGTTTGTCAGCTGTGCAGCATCATTGGCTAGATCTATTTGTGTTTTCTCACCCCGCTCTGACAATGGGGCTGTTGTTGTCCCTTGGCCTTTAAGACCTGCGTGGTTTGGCTGATACAGCTGTTGTCTCCAAAGGAAAAGTGCCATGCCGTGCTAATGAGTGACATGAAGAGCGATTCTTCGCAGAAGGCTCTCCTTGGGCACAAGACGCTGCACCTGTCCACTTTTGACACGCCAAGCCAAACAACACCCTTCTTCGTGGCCAAAGCACAAGGGAGTGCCGAAGCAGCAAGCAAACGTCAAGGTATGCTCGATACAGCACCTGGAGGTCAACTTGCGACTTCCGGCCACACGAAGGACCTCACAACCTCACCAAAGAGGTAGAAAGCCCGCGTATCTGCGGCATGAGGAGACGTGTCCAAACAAAAATCCGTCGTCCCAAGTGCCAAAAGCCGTCCCGCGTCAGATTGTCAAAGTTGAGTCAAGGGCCCTGGCCATGGGTTCACGCAAAGAGAACCTACGCAAACTCTCGGCTGGGCATGTGTCACCTTTCAAAACGCCCATGCTTGGCAGAGGAAACACAACTTCCAGGAGTATCCCAAGGAACTGCTAGAGACAAGACACGAGTCGGCGAAACCTTGGCCGATGTTGGCAAGCCCTTGAGGCGTTCGTATGGTTGGCCGACAGAAGCCACGAGATCCTGGGGTTGCGAAACTCCAACCGACTCTCGCCCATCACATCATCACCCGGGATCCGGAGCCGAGCCGAGCACTCGGGAGTAAAGCTTGGAGAGCTTTTCAAGGTGCAAGGAGGTGACAAGGGACCGTGGTTCAAACAGACTCCCAGAAACTTGGGTTCCCCTTCTACCTTTTAAAGATGCCATGGTTCTCCTTCGACAACTAACCGGGAGGTTCCAAGCACGAAGAGACACACCCAACCGAGCTGGCTCTTTCGAGCCCCAAAGCCAAAAAGACCCGCCAGACTACTGGCCTCAGCCAACTGCTCAAGTGCTCACAGGTTAACTTTTTAACACAAACATGTTTTAGTAGACCTTGTTTCCATCCGAGTACCTCCGGAGATTTTGGCTGAAGCTTTTGGTTTTTGGTGACGACCAATTTTGCTCCCAGTTTTCACCCGCCGGCGCAAAGACTCAAAGCCTCAAATCGCGGCTAGTCGCCTAGTGACGGAAAAGGCTTCGCCGGCTTACAGCAAGCAAACCTATCCGGAACCGGAAAAGCATAGGTGTACCTGGGAAGGCATGTTGCCACTTTGGGGGTTGCGGACATTGATGCATGACATGTTCCCCATCTCTCGTCTTGTCCCATCTCCTGTGGGCCATGGATTGCCTAGGGAGCTTTACGTATAAAATCCCAGGGTCCACCATCCCCGGAAACCCCAACTTGGGTCTCTTGACCGGATGGATCTCGGGGCACCGCCTGCCCCTTCAAAGTCCCCCAAATGGCTCAGCAGCCGCAGGCGTCAATGCTCAAGACTTGCGCGAGCACCAGAGTTGCGGCTGCAGCCGGCTGAAGCAAGCGCCTTTGGAAAAAACAGTTGGGACGTGGTTTATTCATCCACTTTTTTTCCACTCAGGACCTCAAATACCTGCTGCACATTGTCAACTTGTCACCTTTAGCAGCGTAGCTCATTCGGGGGTCATGCGCTGGGCGATGCTGACATTTCACTTGCCAAGGAAGCCCTTCGGCCAGCTTCAACTCCAAAGCTGAAGGCCAGACACACAAAAAAGGCTCGCTCCAGGATGCAAGATGGCCAACTGCGCGGCTTGATCAAAGCTTGGCACCCCCCTTTTGGGTGTTGGCCACATGGAAAACGAGGCTTAGCCACCTCGCTTGCGTGTGCGATTGCTGGAATGGCGCGCTCGGCTGGAGGTGCTTGTGGTGTGTTTGCCATGGCAGTCCCTCTCCGACGTTCTTGGCGGTGCTGGGATTTTGTTGCACACACGGGGAAAATAATGGTTGCAAGGAACTGGTGCTTTCAAACGGCCGGCAAAGGCGCACTTAGAGCGGCACCTGGAGACACCGAGTCTTCACGCGCGCGTCAAATCCTGGGGTCGATTCCCCAAAAACACATGCGGAACTAAAGCCGAAACTGGAAATAACATGACGCAAACCTTTCCTGCGCGGTTTGCAGCTTCAAAGAAGGTCAAGCGCGACTGCCAGTTCAGGTCGCGCGGAAAGCTACCTCAAGGAACAATCCCAGGTTGTCCTCGGTGAGCACTCAGAGAATGCAAGGTGATCTGAGGGCTCAACTCTAAGGTACACCAAACATAGGACTCTTCGATTCTGTTGCATATTTAGTCTAACATATCAGATATGAATTTCAGGAGACACCAGTAAAAGATCCGAGGGATCTGAAAGACAGCAACTCCCCGCCAAGAATCTCACCTCGACATTGATGTTCGTTTGTCGCCAGGCTTTGGGTCACGGGTTTTCGGGTTCCCAAAACGGACTTTGGCTTGCTGTTGGTCTCCCTCCGACACCAAAAGGGGGCTTCCTCAAAAAACAACAGACACCCACAGCCATGTGAAACTTAGGCTGAGCTCCGAGACACATGCCATCTTCAAGCACCGAAAGGCCAGTCAATTTTTTTGGGCCCAACAGGGCGTAGATCTTCCGCTACGCATCTTTTGTGAAGCTTGGGCAAATGCGAATCCATAAATCACGACCATTGCAGAAGCGGCCACGCAGCCTTGTGCCACTTACAGGAAGCAGAGAATCCCATGAATTCTTTGGCAAGTGTAAGGGTCCTAGGCTGCAAATCTTGACGCCCGGAAATTCGCGGGTGCTAAAACATGATTACAAACTTCACCAAAAAACTCTAGATTCTCTTCTCGGCCTTGGACCTCAGTCATGCCAAGTTGCACATCACGCCAAAAGAAAATATATGCTCCGTGTGTTCATCTTCTGACAAATCGAGGAACCCCCCAAAATGGGTGGGTTCCTTTTGGTTTCACTTTACAACTATCCAGAAGGGTACCCTTAAAAAGAGACACCCCCCCATATCTACTGATACACAAATGCAGCATGGTCATTCGAGAGGTCCCGGTGGACTGCTTCAGCTTGGCAGTCCGCTTCCCGCCAACGCGGGTCCGCGAGTCCGCCGTCGCAGGCCGAGCAACTGCTGAATGACTGGTAAAGATGTGGCCAAGCAGTTGGCACGTGCTTCTCCCAGCCACGCTTGTTCAAGGCCATTCTTGTCAAGGCAAACGTTGGCGCACCAAAGAACTTTGGGCGAAACACACGCCACATTTTGTTCAAGGTAGGCGGCCTGCAGGCGGCACACGGGGTGAAATTCCAGGCAAGACACGCCTGCGGCTCAACTGCTCGGGTGTCAATATCCACCCGTCAACTTGTGTTTTTTTGCCGCAATCTCAAGTGGGCGAGCCCACGAGAACTTTTTCGGAAGATCTCTTTCGTGGATCGAGGCGGAAAAGTCAGTGGCGCCAATGACTGTGCACACACGCGCCACAGGAATGAGATCCAGAACAAACCACGTGCACTGCTCCATTGGCATCTGTTCCAGATTTTTTACGAAGCACCCACTGCAGATCTTGCCCATTTAAAGCTTGAGAATAGGTCGAAGACAACATATCCCCGATTCCTCTAATCCTTCGGAGGGAACCAGCTACTAGATTGTTCGATAAGTCTTTCGCCCCTATACCCAAATATGACGAACGATTTGTACGTCAGTACCGTAGAGCTTTCCCTGACTTTGCACTTTGCAAGCATAGTTCACCACCAATCTAGTTCTCCCAACTGATGTCGGTTGCAAGGGCAAAACATCCCATTTACCTTCACTTTGCTCACTGGCTTGTTGCACGAGAGAACTTGCACACCAAGGATAAACCCTGCTTCGAAGGGACAAGACCTTGGACAAGGATGGCAGCTGCATGTGTACTCGCACTTTCATCGGACCCCACCTTTTAACTAAAGCAAAATGGAGCACCAGAAGATGTGTGTCCCCGCTCATTTTAGTTGCGCTGGCGTCAGCCGATCGGAGAATCGGGGCTAAAGCCATCAGAGCAACTCGTGATGCAATTCTTCGGCCCGGATGCTTTGGATGGGCCTGGCCTCGGTACAAGGTCCGCGAGTCCTGAGCTCAGGAATCATACGCCTCCCAGCCATCGACCCTTGGCCTTGCCTCTGCCAAGGTGGGCCCTATCAAGTATCTCAGACGCCGCTGCAGGATCCATGCTGACAAACTGTCCAGGACCAAGAAATCCGCAGACTCCATGGCGCCCGGCGTCCGGCAAGTGCCCCTTTCGTGTTTCAAGTGTCTGAATTGGGAGACTGATATTTCACTTTGGTTCCCCAAGTGTGTCGTAAAAATCGTGAAAACCCCTGTAGTTCATTTGATTGCCCATGAAAGAACCACCCCAAGAAGGGCACCGAGCCTCGAACAAAAATGAGACACATCCATATCTGATCACATCTGATCCGGCTCAAAACGGTCGTTGCCCCATTACTTGGGCCTTCTCGTTGGTTGGTTGGCTGCTTTTTCTGTTGGCTGCCCATCAAAGACCCCTGAAACTGTTTGCAGGCCTTTCCGCTTCGGTTCTGCCAGTGGAAGGCGTTCCCAACGAATCCTTCACCAGGGGAGCTTACCCATTTGTATCACAGAACATGGGGAACAGATCCCTTCATTCCCACAACCTGTTGGCGCTTGTAAGGGATGGCTATGTTTGTCGGCTTCAGGGCACTCCAGCTCTTCCGAAAAATGGGAAAGGTGGGTCCAAGAAAAAGCCTTCTGGAGCTTCGTAGTTGGTGCCTGGAGCCTTGGAAAGGCCTAGGTCATCCACGGGCATGAAAACCTCCAACCCTAAATTGTTTTCACGTGAAAGGGAAAACAGGTCTGCTGGACGCAAGGCCGAAACCATCTGTTTGGGCAAAAGTTCCGACTCACAAATGCATTTGGGCGACAAGTCTGCAAATGTATTCAAGATTGACACATGGAGAAGGAGCGATGGAGCAACCATGCAAGTAACATATGCGGACACGATGCAGTAACAATCCAGAATCATGTCGAGGCGACTGTCATGGAGGACCCTTGTTGATCAAGACATACAAGTCACAGTTTCCATTCCCGTTCCTCGATTCCCATTATACAGATATAGGGTTTAAAGACAAACATAAACGTCACATTTGCAATTCGCCTCATCTCTCTCATATATATATATATATAATCATATATATATACATATTATCAAACAACATTTCCATGTATTCATATAGTTGCGAATCATAGCAACACTCACACACAAACATAAAACACAAATACATTAACTCAACAGTATCGAACAATAATAACACAAACAAAGAACATAGTGATTTGTAATTCTCACAAATGCTTCTTAAAACTAAGCTTAGTTTTGGTCATCCGGATGGAAGCAACTTCTCCATGATGTCATCCCATCCTCAAATCAGGTGAGATTCAATTAGCCGGGTGCTCTCTACCCTGAGTTCGCGACGCCCGCCCAGCGGGAACTTCACGAAAGGCAAGCCGGCCTCGGATTTTGCAAATGCTTTACATTTCTCGGGTTAGACATGGTCAGACTTAATTTTACTTATTGAGTTTGAACATTACATTATTTTTTTAGCTCATCGGCTTTATTTGGTGGGTTTGAACATTGCCCTTTCCACTACAGTACACCATCTATATGTCCATTGCAGTGCATTCTGTGGCAAACCTTGGTGAAAAAACAAGTTGCTCTCTGTGCGCCGGAAGCATACAGGTATCGGTCAGGTTCCAGGCTGCAGATAGCTGATCCATGAACTTCTGATTGGTGGCTGGCTCCTGACCAGAAGAAATGGGGCGTGCTCCGTCTTGGCACAGCTCTTGTCTTCAAATTTTCAGGTGGCCCCCACTTCAGGGCAAAATGCATTCGACTCCATGATGGTCTTTCTTCGACTCCTCTCAAAGTCTTTGTAAACATCCTGCACTCTCCGGTTGGCTTGGCCTAAACGCTTTCTCGCGAAACATGTCATGACAGGCTCAGGGCGCTCCTCACGAATCTGAAGTGGATGCGATGGCAAATACCGCAAGACACTTACACGGGACGTGAAGCACACCACCTATACACAAAGGGGCTTTTTGATAGAAGGATTCATTTTAGCTGCGCGGCCTTCACTCGTGTATGCACCGTAAATTTGCAGCGCCTCCTTCTCATGGCTCGTGGTGAAGTCGTCCACCAGGATTGTCTCTGATGTGAGGTGTGCCACCTGTTGCCGCGCAAAGGCCCTTGACAAATGGCTGTTTGTGTTTTCTTAAGGGTAACCTTTCCAGGTTCGTTTTAGGGGAAACCAACTGCAACCAAATGAACCCCCCCCAAGGGTCCCTACTTTGACCCCTCCCCCAAAAAGTTTTGGCTTCGGAGTGCGTGATGTCTGAAGCATTGGCAGAGCCGCCGGCCTTGGACTCAGGTCCATGGACTACGATCAGCTCATCGTACTCAAAGCCCTTTGAATCCAGCCAGGTCTGGGTGACGTTGAAGGGGTCCTGGCTTTCAGAGCGAACATCGCTTCCATCCAGCGCCTTAAAGTTCAGAATGCGGACTGTGACCTGCCTTCCTCTTTCAAAGATTCCACGCCGAAGTCTGACTTCAAGATATATGAGGTGTATTTTCCGGGTGTGCAGTGTCTTCAACTGAGCTTAAGGGGGTGTTCTGGTTGCTCCTGCATGCCAGGTCGTTGTTGCAAGCCATGCGGAGCTTAGCTTGTCGCAGGCTGGCTGCAAGTGCTTTAATCTGTGCTGGCTCAACCGACCCATGAATGAGAAACACTGTTCCAAGACATCTCAAAGCAACATGTCTGGAACTCTAAATAAGTTCCAAATCTTGTTACATGGAACATCCCATCGCATTGCACTTGATAGCCCGCCGAAGAGTTGGCATGCCATGGAGAGAAAACGGTCAGGATCAGGGAAGCGGCCGAGTCAGCTCCGCTGCGGGGAGTGTCGAGCAACAAACAGCTCAAAATCCGAGCCACGTGATGCTGCTGGGTCCTACCCTAGCTGACGGAAGTCAGCTAGATGCTTTGCTCGGGCATTCACGTCGAAATGATCTACTGATATCATCATTCACAACTTAGGCCCGACCCCTTGCACTCGCGCACAACGCAAGAAGACGAGCAGAGCCACATGGTACTTGTATGGCATTCTCAAGTCCACTCCAGGTTGCAATCATGTCAGTCAGGAGTCGCTTTGCGGGCGCTTTGCTCCAACACTGCCTCATTTCCCGTTTCGCGTTTCGCGCTTCGCTCCTCGTAAGAGCCTCTGGCGGTCAAGAAGCGGATGAAGTACCGCGCCTGCAGCCTGCGGACGCCAACTTCGGCCGCGGCGAAAGCGGCGCGAGGAGCCTCACCGCAGCACAGAATCTATCTCACACTTCAAGAAGAAGGCTCCCAAGAGATCCTGGAACTTTTCAGCTGATCTTCACGCCAACACACTTTCTTGCGTCCTCCCGAGTCTGCTCTTACATGAGACAATGAGGATCTTGAAGCATGGCATACATTATTTTCCGCCGCCCCAAAAGGCATAGTCTTCACAAACACTGCTCCACGCTTTGCAGTTTCAGGGGGAGGCCTTGTGACCGCGGTACTAACAAGAAGGCCTTCGCTCGCCATTTGGGATTCAAAGAACAAAGCCGTTGAACACGAGCGCGCGCGCGCGTGCTCAACCCCAAGTGGTTTGGGCCCACCTCCGCAGCGCTTCGACGGCACCTTCCACCACCTCATCCTGCATCACCTGGCCAAACGCAGGCCCTGGTGTCAAGCTATTGCTCTCATGTTTTTCTTTGAGAGCCAACATCCTTTGGATGACCTGGCTCATCGCGGTGAGCCTTCAGCTTCAATCGGAGATTGAGCTCTGGAACAACGCCATGCAATGACAGGTGACCAGTGCAAAGCAAGATTCGTCGTGTTCGGATTCAAACCACGTCGGCTCGCGCAATGCAAGATTTAGGTTTGTGCCACAACGTGACAATGCATCTTGATTAAAGTAGACGCTCTCTCGTTTGGACGTACCAGGATTCGTCGTGAATGACACGCCAGCGCGGAATACTTCGACCAAGTGGACAGGGTTCGGTTCAAGAACCATTGAACAAACACGCAGAAAGCGGCTCTGCACTTTGCTGCCATCCTCAGGCAGCACTCCCCGCGTCACCATTGGGATCGACGGGGCTGATTTGAGGCATGCACCAAATCGGCCAAACGTGACAGCCCCTTTCACCGGACACCCATCAGGTCAATCATTTTCTGTATTTGTTTCAAACTTGTTCCACATGGGCGAGCCTCCCAAAAAAAAGGTGCCGGTGAAGCAGGTTGTCCTCCAGAAAACGCGGCATCCGCCCACTTGGAGGGTCCTGGACCGGGCCTCCGAAGCTAGATAGGCCTTCTTGCTTCCTTTCCAGCGCCTGGCCGACTCGCACAGTCGCCCAGCGCATGCCCATTCCAACTTGGATATGGGAAAAACACCAAACACCGCAAGAATGGCTTTCTGGTGCTGGAGCTAGAATCTTAAGCTGGACTCTTGGTGAAAGGGAAGCTGGCAGTTGCCGTGCTGTCTGCAACTCGAGCGGGGCACACTACTTACACATACACACAAGCACACAAGGACAACACACACACACAAACACACCGCACGATTATTTAATCTGAAAAAACGATCGTCCTGCGACAATCGTGAGGGACCACTAGACTACCAAGCCCCCCGTGCTATGCAAATTCTACGCCGCATTTGCCCCGATTGTCATGTCGCTCGATTTCCTAGCACCCCCCTGAAGCCCTCTGGCGGATCATGCCCCTGTATTTGCGCGCCTCACTCGCTCCATAGACTTGGCAACGACCTAGCTGGAAGCATGGACTGAGCCAGCCGATCTCAGACATGCGGTCGCAAACCAAAATATCCGTGGCTTAGCTCGACAACACAACATGCCAATGCAATGAATTATGCCCACATTGCACGGCAAAACCTTTCTCAGCTTGGGCTTGTGTTCCCTCTACCCCACCCAGTTCGCCTTAAGTGTGAGAATGAAACAGGCACTTCACCATCAGCCAGGCAAATCAAGCCAATGTTGGACTTTCCGCAGCTGTTTGCCACGCAAAGGGCAAAGCGGTTTTTTCCGTTCCCCGCTAAGAGAAGGTTGTGCTTTTTGATCGCCACCCGGCGCATGGTGTCCCGGCGTTGTCGATGTCCACGAAGAGGTTTTTGCGCTCTTGGCGGTACCTCCGATTGGCAGGTCATGGCTGTGCCTCCAAACTAGGTCTAAACTGCTAAGAAAAACTTTGACTTGGCCTGAATGCGGTACAGAGGAAAAGTACTTTCTGATTCTGTTTTACATCTAGTCTATCCTAAAGCATAAATATTGTGGGAGGAGGCCGCAATTGAACTCATCCAAACCGGTTGACCAGCATAGCTTTCAGCCTTGCACTCCCACCAAGGGGGTGATAAGAGTTAGAGTTGGCCTCTCCCGTCCGCATTTTGCCATCCGGTCCTAGGGTCCCCCCCACACTTTTGGGCACATTCTGAATACACCCACTAAAACAGCCCATTTTCAACATTCAAATTCAATCACCCAACCAATCCAACACCAAAAAACACATATTCATATACCCATCTTCATTTTTTACCCCATCTCAACATCACCCTTACACTCATTCAATAACAACAATCATAACTACATACCACCTCAACAAATCCCACCAAAAAAATCCAAGCTACATACCAACATTTTTTCATTCCCAAGATCGCAACCCCAAAATCTCAATAATTTTCTCCCTTGTTCCAACTTGACACCCTTACTTGTTTCTTGCAAACTCAAGCAGTCTAAAATAAAACCCCAAAATTTCTGTTACCCTCATCACCCCAAAACGAAAGAACACCACCATTCCCGCCCAAACACCCAAATATCTGGATGGCAATATGCGGATTGAACAAGGTTGGAACTGCAACAAACGCCGTTGGAACTGCAATTGGAACTGCAAAATCCGCCGTTGGAACTGCAAAAACTGCCGTTGGAACTGCAAAAGCCGACGTGGCAACTGCAAAATCCACCGTTGGAACTGTAGAACATATTGCAAATCCGGTTTCTTCAACACCGCCTCTCCCTCACCCCACCATTTTTCACAGCATTTCAGTCGCTTGAACGAGTCTAGATCATACCTTCCATGAACTCACATACTGCTCAAAGTTGAACTTGCATTTCTCCGAAACATCCCATGTGCCGACAACCTTCTGCTTCAATGCGTACCCTTCTGCAATGTCACCTTCAGGAGCGACTACAACCCAGTTGATGGTCTTGACTCCATTCAGTTGGAAATAGATTTTGAACTGCTTGTAAGAAGCACCAATCTTGCAGTCGTGACTTTTCGCCTTCGTGACCTGCAGTAGCCAAAGCGTGATGTTCTTGCCCTCCTTTGTAACAAAGAACAAATCAGCGGCTGGAAATGCCTCAGATTCAGGACAATACAAGCAATTCTCATCAAATTCTGGCAAAGGCTTCGGTGGTGGCTGGTCACCCAACTTCTTGAGCATCTTCTGAAGGGTCGGGATGCAAATTTTGACTGCAGCTGACTCTGTCTTGTCCTTATTCGTCTTCAATGCAGTGCAAACAAGCTCCACCTTCTTGGATTTGCAAACCTCGGCGACATGCATCTGAAATAGCCGACCGCACAGTGTGCCCAAAGGGGTGATATTCAAACTTGCCCTGATAAGGTCAGGAAGAGCTTTCCGTTGCTTCTCTGCCAGTTGGTCACACAAAATGTTGAGAACAACCTCGGACTCAATCAACTTCACATTGGGCGTCTGAAACTTGGCATCCGAATGGATGTGTAGCACCCGACTCATCTTGCTCCTGTTGTTCTGTGCATCCATGTCTGCACCGCCACTGTCAGCAGCCTGACACAAGTCTTCAAACGTGCACTTGACGACGCAGTCGCGAATCATCTGCTTTGCTTCCTCTTCCAGAGTGGTCTTATTCTCGGCTACTGCCACCAGCAATTTGTGCAAGTATCGCACACTCCCTCCAATCATGGAATATGCCTTCTTCACGTCTGCTTCTTCCTTGCAAATCTGCAGTATGCCCCCAGCTTTCCAATGGTTCAGCACCTCCTCTTCTGACCAAACTGGCATGAAATAGCGCTTTGAACGACCTTCAGCCTGCTTCCAAACACTGTCGTAGTTCTTCTGCTGTGGCGAGGTGAAAATAATAGTGCAACCACGCATGCGAGGGTCAACAGGCTGGGAGTTCTCACCGCCAACTGGGTCTGCCAATAGAACAGTTTTGGAGTCGTCAAGGAGTTTGACCGGCCATGTGTCATTGTGCGTGATGGTCTGCCCTGAAATGCGCGACCACCATCTTTTGCCCAGCTGGATGACGATGTTGATGCCCTCTTCAGCCAAACGACTTGCCACATAAGCCAGAAAAACGGATTTCCCAATGCCGGGAGTGCCTGTAATGACGAAAACGCCCATGTCCTCTTGGGAGAAATTGTGAAGCAACCATTTGTGGACAAGGCTACACATGTCCATGTAACACTTTCGCAGAACCAGCCTTTTTTTCGTGTCCCTCTTTCCCAGAATATTGTGTGCAAACTCCTGCACGGTGTCAGCTTCCCAGTTGCTGGGCTTCGGTGTCTTGGACACAGCCTCATCCAGCCAATGGCAAAGTTCATCTTGATATCCAGGGTCCTGAGCAGTGCAGTGAAAGCAAACCAACAAAACAAGAAACAAGCAACCGCCAAAAACAAACAAATGACCTGCTCAAGCAAACATACCTAAGAACCAGAGAGGAACGAAACAACCAAACCTGGAAAGGGAGTGACACAAACATATTGATTATGTTAAAGCCAGGGAGCGGGTTGCGGTGGTTGGAAAGCCTCACGAATCCTATTCCCCAAACGCAGGACTACTTTCTGTTGAGTCTTTTGTTCAAGCCCTGCTGGAAGCAGACTAAACAAGAATGAAGGCTGGGCATTCTTCAGATCGTCTTCGTCGAAGTCAGACAGGTGCCCCGCAACAAGGCTTTGCACGCTTTCGTCAAAATCATGCAGTTGTTCAGCGAGCCAGCGATGTGTCAGTTTCCGCTTCTTTGGCGGCGCTGCTTCTGCCATTGCGCAAAACTGAAAGCAACGTAAACCTGAACAAACATGACACTTCAATGACTGTTGAGCATCATGTTTTGGTCGCAAATCATCCGATCATGCCACCTCAAGCTTGAACCAACAGTTGGCGGAATCAGTTTTGCTACCGCCATTACAACATGTTGTCTCAGCAAATGTTGTTTATGAAATATCGTCACAGAAACCGTGTCATGTCATCATAGAAACAGTGACGTGCCGTCATAGAAACAGTGACACGTTGTCATAGAAACAGTGATATGTCGTCATAGAAACAGTGACATGTTGTCATAGAAACAGTGACACGTCGTCATAGAAACAGTGACACGTCGTCATACAAACAGTGACCCAGAAACAGTGACACATCGTCTCAAACCTTGTTGTTGGTGACTGGTTTGTGTTCAAACCTTGAGAATCTCTGACCTCAAATAGGGGCGGTTCATCCCTTCAACAGAAAAATAATCTTGACCAAGTTTTTTTTCAACCCTTGAAACCTTGTATTTGGCACTGCTCCACGAACTCGTTCTTTCTTTCTCAGAAATCCCTTTTTTACGGTAGATCTTGACCTCATCACCAACCCTAACAGGGGGATATTTACGGGTTTTCGTTCTGTTCATCTCAAGTTTCATCTTGACCTCAAGCTGGTTTTCTTTTTTGTGGGCGTCATGGACCATTTTACTGTTATATGTCAGCATGATCTCAAGAATGTAATCAACCCATTGTATATTAACCTTTCCCTTTTTCTCGTCTGCATCAACCCTCTTGAAAAGCATGTCCTTGAACGTGCGAATGAAACGCTCGGCGAAATGGGGGTGCCCTCGTGTTTTATAGTTTTGGATCCCTTCGTCCTTGAAAAAATCAACAAGATCTTGGGTATTGAGACTCCCCTCATCATCCGAATAAATTAATTTGGGTTTCCCTCCCATTTTGTTTAATGCCTCCATGATCCCAGCCGTGATGTCGGCAGGTTGCTTGGATGCAATGGGCACCACCACGGCTTTGCGGGAAAATACATCAACAAGCAATAAGCCTATCCTATATGTTTGATTGTCTAAATCATTTTTTGATATAAAAATAGATCCAATTGATATTCAAAGTTGATATCAGGGGCAATAAACGAATTGTATCCAGACAGTTGTTTTTTCCGTTCCACGTTCTCTTGAAACCACTCCTTAACATCTTGCATTGTGATTGTTGCATCTTTCTGTTTGGCATCTTTATGAGTGGTGGCAACGCTACCGAACCCAGCCCGGTCAAAATAAATATCACTGATATTCTTGTCTTTATCGCTCATATAAATAACACTATAAAATAAATATCAATATGTTATTTTATCACTGAAGCATCTATTACAAGAAGCACAGAAGGCAATGACATTATCCTTTGTATGGGGAAGATCATTACATAACCTTTGACAAGTCAGACTAGAATTTATATTACCAGAATCCATGGACAACACAAAGCCACAGCCACAATTTGCACACTTTCCATTGACGTTGTCCTTCAACCATTCGGCATCTACATAATTTTCTTTTGGAATACCAAAGCCATTTTTCCTATCCTGTTCCTTGTATGCTAACACCTTTCTATCAAAATAAGTCATAATGCATTTTGCGTTAAACTATTCATTTAAATCACTACTGTATTTGTAAAATTTTACTCTGTTTAAATCCCTTGCCCGAGTGATTCCCGTCCAAAGCCACTCGCGAGTTATCAGATGATGGTTCCAATCAAAAATGGTGACATCGTCATCAATGGAACACCCCTGAACAGAATGACAAGTATAACAGAAGGCAAAGATAAAATGACTTCTCAAGATACCAATATGTAATGTAATCTCTTCTCGTGTTTTGATATTAGCAATGGTAATCCAAGGATCGGAAATATTAATTATCTCATACCTAAAATTCACATTTAACTTATAGGTTTTTGTCTTCCTATACTCTCTGCATATCATGATCTCGCCGACTTCAAACTCATTTTGTTTGCCCTGTCGTTTCCTGATCTGCCTTGAAACCTCTCTACAAGTGTTATTTAAATATGCGACATTGCTTTCTGTTCCTGTGATGTCATCAGTATATTTAAAATACTTATTGATGACATCATGTA